TAGTATCTTCCTGAAAGAGTTAAAGACAGTGATACATGCAGACCAATGTTCATAGCCACACAACTCGTGATAGCTAAGTCCCGAAAGCAGCCTACATGCCATCAGCAGATGAATGGATAAAGAAATGTGGTCACATGGTATACATACATACAAGACGGATACTACTCAGCCATCAGGAAAGAGAAACGTGAGTCATTTGTAAGAAAATGGATGAACCTTAAGACCACTGTGCTAAGTAAAATACGGCAGGCACAGGTTAAATACTGCATATATGTCACAGGAGAAACACCTCATATTTCTCATGTGAGAAACCTAAAGTATAAATAAAAAGCAAAATAAAAGACAGGAAACGGGGAAAGATACTGTGAAGATGAGAAGAAGATCTGGCAATGGGTGGGGCACACAGAAGGGAGCGGAAGTGAAGGGAAGTAAATAGGACAAGATCCCCTAGGTATACGCACCACTTCCCTACGATGAAGGCATTTGTTGTGTATCACAAACATACACTAATAAAAAAGGGAAGGCTAAAAAAAAAGAGAACTCAGGTACACTTCAACTTCTTCCTTACTCTGGTGGCATTTCTTTTCCTTCTTAGCAAAGGAGTCACTCTCTTTGGTTATGCCAACCATCTGTCTTTCCATTTTAAGAGTGGTCTTTTCTAAAATAAAATAATACAAACATTTCTTTTCCAAACACTGACTTAACCTTTTGGATGCCAACTACTTTTAGTTCTTATGCAGAAATAATGTTAAGAAAAAGGTTTTTTAGAGACATTTCAGTAATTATAACATGAGTGCTTCTATATTAGAAGAATTAAGTTTTGCCAATTGTGGATATTTAATATAAGGAAAATAATACCAATCATAAACTTAGACCAACTCTTCCGGCATATTTTAATATTCATCTACCACAGAACTGCTCTGTAATCCAGGACCTTAAATTTAAGAAAAGTATAGTACAAATTACTTTTCTGCCCCTAAAATAAGAAACATTATGTTTATCTTCTGTGATAGCTTATTTTAGAAATAAGAACCTAGGATAAAAAGTATTAATTAAAAGTAATGAGTAATCACAAATATATTTGTATGTTTAGTAATATGGCTAAATATAGCCTTCTGAAAATAGCATTGCACATTTAAAAAGTAAATTGGAAAGTAATACTGTTTAACAGTCAAGAAATATGAAATATGCAAAGCTCCAGTCTTAAGTAACTGAAAGCTTTGGTAAATTTTACTATGTTTACACTAAAAAATTAAGTTTATTGCTGTACTCCCTTGTTCAAGACCAACTAGGACTCAACTTTTCTGGGAATCAATAAAATAGCAATTCTGCCCTCCTAAGTCAAATGTAAGTAACCAAACCACTGTACACATTACACTCAAGCTTTTAAGTGCTTCAAAAATGTATATTATCTCATTTAGCAAAGTAAAGAACTGGTACAATATTCTTGAATTCAGAGATGGAAAAAACCAATATAAAAAACTGAGTTACTATTTCCAAGGTCTTAAGGTTCCTAAGCAAACCAAAAAAATGGGAACAGAATAGCAATACCTGCAACGATAGAGTCTTTCTAGAGACGTGTGTCATGCAAATATTCCCCAAAGAGGTACACAAATGAGCTGATAGGGCTAAATTTTGGAAAGTAAACTAGGTTGAAATTTAACATTTTAAAACGCCAAGATAATGAACTGATCAAAAATCCAAGTAAGTAACTCTTCATTGTTTAGTCTATGCATATTAGTTACGCAAAACGGGTGAGAATTTGAAAAGCAGAACATCAGCTTTTCAGCGAAGGTAATTTTACTTTATTTGTCTTAGGCTTGTGGTTACTCCAAATTATTTCCCAGAAGATTTTTAATTATTTTTACTTTCCTTTGTAAATAAAAATAACTGTATAGCATAATTTCAGAATTAGCTGAGTTTGAGGCCAGAAATAACTATATAATGTATTCTATGGGAGGTGAAGATAAAATTATCTCAATAAAACAGTTGTATTTATAAGAACCTAAAATTTTGATTACATAAATGATAGAACACAAGGAATATGAATGGCTGAAATATTTTCCCTACTGCAAATCTTCTGCGGGAACTGTTAAAAAGATCACTAGGGGCCAAGTGTGGTGGTGCATGCCTATAATCCCAGCACTGAGGAGGCTGAGGCAGGAGGATCACTATGAGTTCAAGGCCAGCCTGAAGTATATAGCAACAGCCTAGCTACCTCTTACAAAGAAGGTCTAAGGATGAATAAAGACAAATAGGAGAAACAAGAGGTAGATACAATTCAGCTCTGGAAGTTAAGAGTCACCACTAGGAAGAATACCGTTTGCCCGGACTGTACTTTAAGGTTTTTTATTTTACAAGAAAGACCTACTCTGATGCATTTCACACACTCACTTTCCATAGCACTGTTTCATGCTCATTGGTAGGTATTGCACTTATTTTATGCGGAGCCTTTTGTGAAGTTTCCATATGAACTAAACCAACTCAGATAATTTAGATACTGTTTAGTAGCAGGGTTATGAAACAGAGCCAAATGGATTAGGCAAGCAGTCAAAGCAAGCACAGGGTCTACAAAGCAATTCAACAAGTGCATCAAGCCAAGAACACAGGTTGCCTAATTCTTAGTTCAAAGTTGACTTGTTGAATGTAGATTCCCAAGGTGAATGTGGCTATACAGAAACTCTCTCAGAACTTGAGTGGGTGAGTCAAGAGTTAAAAACATACAAGAACATGATAATAAGGAATACCACCTGGTCTTATGCCAAAAATACAAAAGAAATCGGTAGTATGAAAAACAAAGGAGGCAGAGGAGGTCTTTTTTTTTTTTTAAATGACTATTATTCCCAGAGTTCAAGGCCAGTGCCCACAGATGGGAATGATAAAACAGCCATCTCCATGTTAAGGTGCAAGTAGCAACAAGGGAGACAAGTTGCAGTCTACTTTCAGGAGAGGTGTACGTCAAAAAGAGAGCTCTGAGAATTAAGTAATAAAAGAGTGAAAAGAAAAAGACTAGAGGATGTAGAGAAGCACACACAGTACATACTGCTGTATATACATGAACTAATATATATGTACATTTTTCTACACAAATCCAGAAGGACAAGAATACAACAAAATGAACATTCATCAGACGTTATGTCACTCAGGTGGAAAAATTACGGCTAAGCACTTGAACTGTATATTCATTTATGGAATCCAACTGACCAACAATCGTCTCCCAAGAGCCTGATGGGGGGAGTTTGAAACTAACTGATGGTCAGGCCACCAACACACTATGAATACGACTTTCAGAAAGGAGAGACAAAGGCTGCCCTAAGTTGCAGAAGAGAACAGCACAAGTGCAGGGGAGTAACTACAGAGTGGAGCGCCTAGGACAGGCCAGACTCAGACAGCAGTGCTTTACGTCTGACACTAGGTGGGGTGCTACTCAAACGCCCTCAGGCCCAGCAGAGAGTTTTCTAAAGTCTGGAAAAGAGAGGGGAAAGGTCACACATCAGGGCAAGGGAGCAGCCCTGGAGAGTCAGAGTGTCAGGAGAGTGGCTAAAGAACACTAACAAAGTGCGGACGCTTGTGTAAGGGCAGCATCACTTACAGGCGGGCGTCAGCAGCGCCAGAGCTGTATGCGGAGCGGACATCATCAGACAGGGGAGACCACAGGAAGGCCCAAGCTTAACCTCCTCCGGGGTGTTCGCCTAGGTCCTGGCCCCAGGCTACTGTGACTTAACAAACAGGAGTGGCCACCGTCATCTCTCCTCACACAGAATCGATGGAGTTGACCATGCCAACGGCTGAAGCTGGAAGCTTCTCTCAGGAGGACTTTGTGCAACTGTGGGTTACAAGCTGAGCACCAGGTTCAGAGAACCACCTTAGCGAAGGAGTGCGTGCTATGATAACACCTACGCAAGTCCCAGCATCCATACCCATCCCGGCTACTTCCCAGAAGAACCAAGAAATAAGCAGGTGCTATTCCCTGGTAACTTCATTTGCTCTCATGCAAACAACGAAACGGCTTCGAAAAACGTTGGCTTTCCTGAAAGTCAGAAATATTTTAAAGAAACTATAGTGAAACCTGGCCACATCTATTTGCACAAGAGTACTTTCAACGGTCAAGTCTAAACAGACAGCTGAGAATTTAATATTTTATCTTCCTTAGAGCCTGCCAATTCAGAAAGTAAATACCCTTGCAAGCAAGTGTTTAACCAAAAGCTAAACCAAATAAAGTAGGGTTGAGAAATTTTAAGTGGTTAACTGAAGGAGACCAAACGAGGCACAGTCTACAGTTTTCAAAGTCTTAAGTTTTCAAAGATGTGGACCTATTCAAAAATCTACGCCCATTTCCTAGAATTAGCAAGCCAAGTAGGACCTCCTCTAACCAGCCTTTAAGTACTCCCATAATTGCAACACCCAAGCACAATCAATGATGCAGTAGGCCAACCTAAACATTTATTTGCCTGACTTGCAGGAAATACCGGCTATTGGAGCCCCTATTCAACTGTATTAGAATCAATTTCTTAGTTGGAAGAGATTTAACGGAGTTATGGTTCAGCTGCTGTTACACGATTCAGAATTATATAAGAATTAAAACCAGGCGACCACTCTATATTAAATAAAACATACATCTCAAAAGCTTCCTTTCAATCCTAATACACAACTGCAATATGAATACAAACGTAATTTGTAAAAAATTCTTTAAAAGCCATCCTTAACCCTAGACCTCGCTGGAACTGTATTACAACACGCTTCAAAGCGTCACGGGAAGGGTCCGTGTGCGGTTCGTATTTTCTTATGTGGCAGTTTCAGTTTAGGAAAAAGTTCCCATGTAGCATTTTAAGGAGCGCTAAATATTTCTGTTCTGGGAAAAACGACTCAACTTCCCGGTCATTTCCACACTCGTCAGCCGCGTCCGGGAAATAATCTATTTGGAGGGCAAGTTAACAGGTTCCTCGGGTTCAAGTTCGCTCAAAACACACAGCAGCAGCAGAGGCAGCAGCAACAGTCACCTTGGCACGAAGATCCGCGAGACACCGCGCGCCCCCTTCGCGCGCTGCGCGCCGCCCTCGGCCCCGCCGGGCCGCGACGCCCGG